CCACACTGCAGCCACAGCTGTGGCTGTATAGTTATATGGAAGGGCTACAGCAGGCAAGTAACACAGCACACGCTGAACTGCCCACGTTTGACTGGTGTCCCCCGTAGCTGAACTCTACACAGCTAAAAAGGACCTCAACAGCTTGTTCAGAGCTACATTTGCTCTTTCTAAGTGAATTGCAATCACACGAGTACAAAGGAAAGAGCAGATAGCCCTGGTGTACTATTTGTCCCTAGCTGTCAAAAGCAAAATATTGTGCTCTCTTTCTACCTGGGCTTCAGCAACTGGATGCACAGTACTGGATGATGGGCCAGGTTTTTTGTCTACACATCCAGAGGCATAAATAGCATGTACAAGCACTTACTGAGAGGTAAAGGCTGGGAACAAAGGGAAGTAAGGGCTGTGGCAGCACTACTGTTCTCCTAATACACCCCTGCCTGGTTCTACCTCTATGATCCAGGAAGAGGTAAGTTTCAATCAGTTCTGCAGAAAATAAAAAATAAACCTCTGTATATACCTATCAACAGAACAACAGCATCAGCAACACCCAGCTTTCAAGAAGGAAAAGTCAGGGGGCTGAGTAGGGCAAACAACTGTAAAATTCAGATGCTAACCTACAGTCACAATAAGTGCCCAAACTAGTACGGTTACATTTCCCTGTTTCACAGAAGAAAGAAAGGCAGGGCAGGTGAATGGCATGGCCTGATACAAAAGCCACTGCATGAACTGGGAATGCAAATTAAAACTTTCTAAACTCAGTCCTTGCTCTGTCTAGACAATGTTTCTCTGAATCTAGGTTTTCTTCCTGTTTTAAGTCCGATCCAAAAAAAAAAGGCAAAAATTGTAAGAGGTTTAAGCAAATATATCCAGCAGGCCCTGTATGTTTCTAAGACATTTTATAGAAATTTCTGTTCATAGTACAAAAAAAATAACTCAGCATTTTTTATGTCTCTTGCTTGGTAATTTCCTTTTTAACTTTTAAACATCTTGGAAAGGGGCAGTCCTCTAGGTTAATGTAAAAAATTTCAGCATAAACAGCAAGAAGCATTTGCATGAGGAATGAAAGAACAAAGGGCTTTCTAAAGATAAAAGCTAAAAGTCATGTTATGATCAGACCTTTTCCCTTTCCTCAAGGGGATTTGCTCTTTAAAAGCAGGTAACTCTCACTCTACTGAGATTCTCAGCTTGAGAATGCAGTCGAGGGGTGGGGGAGGGGGCTACATATTTGCTTCAAGGATAGCAAGTTTAAGGTTTGACACCCGAGGCGTTCATTACAGAGGACACTGACGCTCTGCACCTTCACACCATTTCCAGCTCCCGGATTCTTGCAAAGCGTCTTCCTCTGGTTCATCACACTCGGCTTGTTTGCTCGGGCACCCCCGGCAGCAGCCTGATAAGCTCCCCTGCGGAGCGGCAGCTCCCTGGCAGCGCGGGGGCCGCCGCTGTGCGGGCGGAAAGGGGAAACGGCGGAGGAAAGACTGCGGGGGCCGCGGCGGGGTGCGGGGAGAGCCTGAACAGGAGCCTAAACGCTTATTAGCGAGAGCAGTTAAACAAAGGGACAGGAGCTTTAAGCATGTGTCGAGCTCCAGGGAAAGCTTATTTGTAATATCCCTTTTCATCGATTCGTTGAAATTTGGCAGTTCTCTGGGTTCCTAAGTCTAGGGGTTTTCATGCTGTCATCCATTTGGGCTGGGAAAAGGTCAGTGCTCAGCAATATTTTGCTAAGTACAGTTTCCCCCTAAATTTTAAGAACACATTTAGGGCTTTTCCTCATTGATAATTAACTCGAGTTGTTATTAACTCAATTGTTGTCTCCATGTCAAGTCACACCCACCCACAAAAGCTCTTAACTGAAGACTGGCTCTTCTTTTAATTTGAGTTGGCTGTACATCAGACAGTTCATGGGAAGACAAGGGTATGGCACAACTCAACAGCCACTAAAAGAAAACAAACACCCTAGAAAGCAGACATGGACCAGCTCCACTGGAGGAGTCACTCTGCTCCTCGGATGCTGTGCTATTTATATCACCATCATGCCAAGGAGTCCAGGTTACACATTAGGCTGCCACCGAGTGCCATTTCCCTGGTGAGCTCAGGGATAAGAGAGATTTCTAGAATCGTTTAGCTTATTAAAGGACAAAAAAAATACATGGGAGCTACCCTTGTGAGCATAGTGGATGATAAACACATCCAGTGATGGTGTGGAAACAGCAATTCTCACTCAAACAGAGCAGCCAAGCGGAGCAACCCGAGTGCAGGTCACCAGACGTGTGCCCCAGTGAACGCACACCCCTTGTACAGCCCACACTGAGCCCAGCAAAGGATAAATGCTGCCAGCCAACAGCGGGGAGCTCGTGGAGTGAAGCAGCCTTCCAGGTACGCTTGCAGACAGCTCCAGGGCATAACCTGCAAACCCTGAGTTTTTATCATCCCAGAATTTGGAGGTAGGCATCACTTGCTTTAACAGTACAGGCAAGACTGCTGGAGAAAATTATCTTTAAAAACCATAAATCTTGACCAAGCCACTTTCTCCTGTTGCTGATTATCACCCTTATTCAATGTGCATCCACACTATGTGCTTGAAGGCATGCAGGAGGGATAACACCACTAAAGAACATGTTCACCCTCCCTTTGCCATCCCCGTTCCTTGTGGCACCTGGGCTACTCTGGAAGATGATGGCCCCTTTACACAAAGAAGTCTGGATGGCAACATTGTGGACCCATGCCTTGCTGTTACTTTATCCCTTACTGACAAGACAGGTAATACATAAACTGCAGGCATTTTGCCTCTGTTAACAGGGTCAATACCAAACCTCTGCCCCTAAAGGAGAGACTCAGGACAGGCACTGTTTGACTGTTCCAGAAGAAAGTAGGAAAGAAAAAATAAAAAACAACAAGCAACTCACAAACACCCTGAAGGCAAGTTTTCAGCTGCATGAAATTTCTTTTATGATGTTTATACATGAAATGAGCAACACTAAATTGCAGCCTTCTTAGAGGATGCACCTAACTCCAAAACATCCAATAAAAGCAGAAAAGGCAGGTGCCTTTCTGAAGGCACATCAATAAAGCACAATGCAGGATGGATGAAATATAGCCTGAAAAGTCTTGGAGAATGTAGTGATAACTCTTCTGACCTTAAAAAGCAAACGAACAAACTGAATTCATGTATAAACCTTTAAATCTTATCAAGCAGTGAACATTATAGTGACTGCTGCTAATGAAACCCTGTTTTGATCAACTAAGTACACATATAAAAATATTTGTCACTCATCCTGTTTTATTAGGCCTTGGTTCTGTGCCTTTCTGGGCTCTGCTTAGCGTGGGACTGCCCTGGAGCAGCTGGAGGCCACTCTCGGGCAGCTCTGCTTTGTGCTGACACATTAACAAGTGCCGAAAGGCTGGGGATTGCCAGAGGCCCCTTCTCAGGGTGCTGCCCTGTACGTCACCCAAGGAAGGCTCTGCTCTGCTGCTGGAATGGTGGAAGCCAGGACCTGACCTGATGCTACCAAGCACCACCTGTTGTAATCTCCCAAAAATAATCAGTGAATTTGGAGTTGTGCCAGCCACTGTAAAAATCTACTGTTGAAGGATTTTAGTTAAACATGTCTTCACTATTACACACATCAGTGTTAGGAACAGAGCTAACAATGTGGATCCTAATGTTTCTTTGGTGAAATACATGTACAATAAGGGATTTTATCGTGTTCTTTTACTGCACAACATCCCAGAGAAAAATGTCATTTTTTATTTATTGAGTAAAAGCAAGCCAAGAAGGCTGAACAGAGGAGTTCCCCTTTTTTTGTTTGACATCAAGGTAGAGAGCTGGCTGAGTCAAGGTAAAATGATTAAAACAGTTAAACTTTTTAAATTATGCTGAAGGACTAAACTCATGTCAAACCAGATGCTATTGTGCACACACATGATCAGAACCAGGTTGACTGTTTAGATAGACCATTAAGACCATCAGCCTGACTCCCAACTTCTGTTCTAAAATTAGGAAAAATATCTAAAACATTCCTAATGCTGTAATAAGTTCAACATGCTTCTTTTTGTCACAATTCAGGAAAAAAGCAAAGTAGGTATTTTGACACTAGCCAGAAATCAAGAATCTTGCCTCCATTTAGCAAGACTTCTGTGGGTATTAAAAAGAAAAAAAAAGTATTTGAAAAATCTCCAAACTCTTGCCACACTTAAAAACATAACTGCATCCATAGTAACATTTAGCCAATAGATCAGGAAGGTTTATGCTTTTCCTCTAATCCCCCTGCCTTGTGCCTGCATGCTGAGTGTGCTGGTCCCACTCCAGTTGACCCTACAATTTGCTGTGTGTTCCCCACTCCCTCTGTGCATTGAACCTAGCAATTATATGGCCACAGGATTATTTGGTTTAGCAAGTTGATCTGAGGGGAAAACACTTTTTTTTTTTTTTTGGCAGGTTGGTTTTCCATTGGAGCAACTTGCTGAGCCCATTCACTGTGCAGCCACACAGCTTTGGTAACTGGTGTGAGGAAAAGTAGTAGGAGTGTGTGACCAGGGATGGAGGGAAGAGCACGATGACTCTTCTAAAGAGCAGCCCACAGTTAGGTCAGATCATCTGTGATAAAAACTACGGCCTGTGGGTAGGCCCTTGCAAGTGTGGTTCTGTAGCAGCACAACTTGCCTTGGACTTGACTGAGGTCAATATTGCTGTGGACTGTGGGGAATCCGATTCCTGAGATACTTGCAGAAGCTGTTGCTGCTACCCCACTGCTTCTCTCCAAGCAGCAAATCACATTGCTGCTGGAGATTTTAAAAAAAAGTAATAATAAAGGGAGAAATAATCCAAATAGATTAATTGCATGATGACAGTGAGGAAAGGCTAGGAGGGACACAGGAGAGGATGACTGTTTCTCAAAAAAAGTTTTTTGTTTTTTTTTTAAATAATGCTCTACCACAAAAGCAAAGACAGGACAAACAATCCCCCATCACCCAAAGTGAACTAGCCAAGTTCTACTCACCATTGAAAGGGTTAATCTTCTTTGAGATTCGTAAAGAAATTGATTCCTTCAGATCTTTCTTCTTCACACACTGAATGCCCAGATTCTGAAAACTGAAGCACATGAGGCAGGATTTCAGCAACTAATAAGGTCTTCAGTGTAAAATATTAAATAAATCCTTATTGACTACTGTGGTAACATGCAGTGTAAGAAATGGAAAAAAAAAAAAAGCTTATTTTGAGAAGGGTGTAAAATCTCTGAAAAGCAAGAATGCTGTTTTTTCTAATATAAGTGCAGAAACAGAAGTGAAAAATACAGAAACAATATTCTAAATAATTTATATTCTTCATTAATAACACATATTTCCATATTAAAAATTGTTACTCCATAGTAAACCTACAGCAATTAGAAGTTATACAGCCCATTTAATGTAATTTAAAGAGATGACTATTTTTGTTATCAATAAGCTTGCTGATTTGCTTTGGTTAAGGATCTGCTCTTCTGCTTTTATCGGGAATGTAAATTTAAAATACTATTTTAAATATTTTTTTAAACAAGACTTAACAGGTTTTTAAATCTCACGTAGTTATGGAAAAGTTCTGAAGAGCTGCAGCTCTTCCTTATTTGCATAAGAGCACAGGTCACCCCAATGCAGGAGGTGGGGGGAGTCCCAGGCGAGAAAGCCTTTGGCCAGTGAGATCAAAATTGGGGATGGGGGGAGAAAGGGGAGTTTAGCTTATTTACATTTTTGCTTTGTTAGTAAGCTGGAATGGTTGGAGGAGGAGGGGAAAAAAAAAAAAAAAAAACAGAAAAGGTAATTCGTGTTTCATGATGTTACAATAAGCTCAAAAGACAGGCCATGCCAGCAGGCATCTTTCTCCAGAAGTACCGCAATTTCCCTTCCTTTGAAACTTCACATAAGTTATTTGCTTTAGCTATGCCTATAAAACACCTTCATGCACATAAAGATACTCCTTGTTCCTGCTAACACCCTCAAGAATAGTCCTACATCTCCCTGCTCTCAACAAGACTATCCCAGCATGCTGCTAGGTTTAATTTCCCCCAACTCCCTTGCCTGCACCCAATAATCTCTGTTCAGAGGTTCCCAAATCCTCTGCAGTCAGGTTCCACTTCCAGAACCTATTCACTGAAGGAATGCAAAAGCTACCTTTTGAACCTGAACTTGATACAGTGACCTGGAAGAAAACAAAACACAGTAGCATCTCATAACTTACTAAAGCACTTTGGCTTCATATTGTGGCTACTGACATTCAAAATGGGTACTACACATTTAGGAACAACCCTATTTCTGCCTTCTCCTGTAGGTAGTACCATTTTTAGGGTGTGACCACCGCACATAATTAATTTTTTTTTCCCCAAAAAACACATACAGTAGTTGATAGATTCATTTTGAAGCACATGTCAAGTCCACAACCAGGCCTGATTCCATATAAAATATTCCCAAATAATCATTCAGAAGTTTCAGGCTCTCCAGCTGTCCATCGTAAGTTACAGATATCTAGCAAGCCCATCTGCAGAACAAGCCTTGAACAAAAGCTCTACACAGCTCCACCAGGACTGACAAGCCATTACCATTCAGAAGGAAGCCTCTTGTGGAGGGGAACTGGGCTTTCAAGCACCCCATAATGCTCAGATTATAAACATTTAGTTAAAGATGTGTTGTCACAGTGAAAGTCTCTCTCTAACTATAGCTAAATAGAAGACCAGATCAGAGGAGAAACTTGCTGAGAACTTGAGGAAGGCTGTGGGGTTTCACATCAATGCTAGCTGACAGGAAGCAAGCAAGATACCGAGAAGAGAGAGGGAGAAGTAGGAAGAGAGAAGAAAAAATTAAAGACCTTTTAAAAAAAGCCTATGACATCATCCATCTAGAGAGACACCAACTAGGAAGTAAAAATCTGAGTATACAGGCAGTTACACACACCCCAACATTCATACTTTTGCTTTGATGTTTTGGCCAGGGAGGGCTCTGATCAAGTTTAGGCGGCAGTACAAAGATCATTATACCACAAGCAGAACAGAACACTCTCTACAACCAGAAATACATGGGGAACTTTAAACAAGCAGAAAGCAGAGTTAATTCCTCAGACCAGCCCAAAATCTGACATTGGTAATTTCTGCGCTAAATAAATAAATAAATAAATAAATATTGGATTTTTTTTGTCTTTGGGATGCTCAGCAAGAGCAAACAGCCAGAACCACTACCAAGAAATGACATCTACTCACTAGTATTGTATGAGGTTTTTCTCCAACCTGGACTCCAAGAGAAGAATGTGAGGACTGAATCACTAGCCACAAAAAGGAAAATTACTTTAAACATCCAGATCCAATTATGGATCATACTGTTCTTTCATCTCAAAGCAACCAATGATTTGTTATAAAAAAAAATAAAAAAATAAAAAAATGAGTGTACAGATGCTGGAAACATTTCAAAGAGAATGTTTCTAGCCTCCTCCCATCAGGATCTCCCATGTCAAGCTCAATTGAAGCTTACAGTTTCTCATTATCAGTAAAGTGAAAGTAGCCCACTATTTTGTAACAAACTGAGAAGCTCATAACCTAAAGATACTGAGAAGAAGTGATGGACATAGTAAACAGTCACAAGTGCCTTAAATGCAAGGAAGACCCAGCATTATATAAAAAAATGGGATTTGATGCACAGGTAAAATGCAGATTAAATAAAAATTTGCAACTAAGTTTTGCAAAGCATCCCAATGCTTTTTGGCGTTGCATCCTGTAAAGGCCTCTCTTCAGGTTTACCTCATGCTTACACACTTAACCTTGTGCAACAAAATGCCAAGAAGAAAAACCATCATCAGTGTCTTCCTGTACCCAGTGAATGTAATAAATAACCAGAAGAGGTGTTAAGCAATCCAGCTGTTTTGCTTCGGATTAGAAGGAACAGAGCTGAGAGCTGGAAGTGGGATGGGCTAGAACAACAGACATCCTTTGACCTCGGGTGAGGAAGCTTTTATTTGAGAAGACAAAAGGAGAAGCTGGTGAATGGATGGTCAGAGGAAGGTGCAAGGTCCCTTAACAGTTTAAGATCTTTGCATCTGCCTTTTAGACGAGGTGACGGGAACTGTTTGCAGGGAAGGCAATGAGGATGAGGTTACAACAATGAAGTGCAGCCCTGCCTTTCTAGAGAGGTATGACAGTGGGAAAAAAATTACAAGAATTACATTTATCAATACTTTTCTACCATTTGCCAATACAAACAGCATTGCAAACAGAGCTAAAAACAATGCACTTATAAAATGGTTAGCATCTGTTGCAGGAAAAGACAGTACAGTCAGCATGCTACATGCCACCAGAGCACACTGCAGCACACTCAGCCAGGGCTGTATGTTGAAGAAGCTTCTCCACTATTACAACTGTTTATTTCACCATCCAGCAATCATCATCTTCAAACAGACTGTGTCTTCAGTTCTCTTCTTTAATGGTGTTCTACTGACTAAACCCACATAAATATGGAGTAATTTCACTAACATTAACAGAATCACACCAGCCTGAGAGCAGTGTGTAAGAGCTACTTATACACTGAAATATTTACCTTATTTTCTTCCCAGTTATGTTTACCTCAAAGTAATGCCTAACTTCCAAATTTACTATATCGTAAACCATGACCCAAAAAAAGCATAACAATTCTAAATCCCCTTCTAGAATCACTAGACATTTATTGCAGTTTACTCTGTTTTTACTTGAATACATAAGACTTAGTAAACTTACAGGAAATGGCACCAAATACAACTGTATTTTAGATATTTGTAATATACCTCTGAGAAAACACATCTCGTACACTGCCTGAATTTTCGTTACCACATCCACAAGTAGATCCTTCCCAGGCATGAGCAAAAATCTGCATCTTCCCATCAAAAAAAACCTGAAACAACCTCCTGCCCAAACAAACAGCAACAACAGTGACAGGTACTAATGCCTTTCTAGATGTGTCACAACCCTTATCTTCTAAATTATGTGATACTCAGCTAGTGCAAACTTTCTCCACCAATTTCAAGGAAGTCCAAATGTAATTCCCATGGAAGACGTGAACTTCCCTACTCTTATCAACATGAAGTACTAATTCTAATGTTGTTGTTACCCATGTTATTACTCACCCTTTTCACATGTAGGACAGAGTCAATAGTAACTGTTACTGAACAAGACTGTAAAAAACAAACAAGCAGGAGAGAGGAAAAGGAGACAGACATTGGGAGAAGGAGCAAAGGAAAGAATGGGCAATAAGAAAAAAAAAAGGACCAAAAGTCAGTGTGCAAAGTACTGAAAAAGAAGCAAATACTTCAAAGAGGTGTTGCCTTGTCTCTGAGATGGATTAGCAAACCTCAGCAAAGACAGAATACTAATTGCCCTTTTAGTCACTACTCGAGAGTTTTAAAACATAAGATTAGCAAATCACTTGCATAATTAATCGAAATCCCAAGCAACACCATTACTCACGACAGGACTCGCCGTTCTGGCCCAAACTCTGCTTCATAGTAGCCATCTCTGCAATCTTTTCCAACCAGATCGTGAGGATGAGGCTTGTAGGGTTCATTCTTTGTTACCAGTGTTGTTCTTATTTTGACTTTTCCAAAATAGTTCAGGATCTATGAGAAATGTGGGATATTTTGTAGATTTTTAGATATCAGGGCTAGTAAAGTCCCCACATATAACAGAAAACATGTTTCATCCTATAATACTCTATGGGAGAAATACCATAGCTAAGAAAGTGGCATTACTGCTTTATAAAAGCCAGGGCTATTCAGAAGTTCTGTTCATTCCATTTCAGTTCATTTTACAAAAATAACTCTTTAGCAAAATACTTGAAAAAGGATTGTTTTTTTTTCAAAAATATTTCATATCTATTTATTTCAGAAAGCAAACCAGCATACTTCACCTGCTAGGTTTACCTAAGAAGCTGGCTACTTGTAATGGTAAGTGCCAGGCAGTCCATTCAGTTTTCAAACTACCCTACTACAAAAATGTGAAGGAAGTCTGAAAGGCTCTAAGAATTGCCCCGCTCTTTTTTATTTTTCTTTTTTGAGACTGGAGCTCTACTAGACCCTTCACAGCAGTCATCAGCCTAATTCAACACACCCTTCCTTATGCTGACAGCTACCAGCAAAGTAACCAAGGGTTGTGTGGGTGAACGTAGGGGGGGGGGAAAAA